TCTTTAGATCTTGGACGCGAAAGGGTTACGATAGGGGGCGAAGTACCAACAACAGATTTGGAGGGTGTTCAAGAGTGCTGAAGAATGATGTTTTCGTATTTTCAAAGAGAGTGAGTCCTCAAGAGTAATCGAACCCCAGACCTCCGGATTCCGCGCTCTGCGGATCTACTTTTAAGTCACAGAGAAAAGAGACTTTATGGTAACCTTAGCTAACAAAAGCCCTTTACAAAATATCAATTAGCTCACCACTTACACACTCGCAGCGTTTTCGCCAAAAGTTCTTAAAATAAACAGTCTTCTACAGAAGCTCCCTCTTTCGGGATAACTTTCCAGACAGTCGGTCGCTCCGACAACAACTATTATTACTACAAAACTGAGTCCTTCATGATATACCTCATACATTTCCTTCTAATTTTCAAGTGTGGATACTCTATTGTCCTAGAACCGGTATGGGTAGTTACGTGACACTGTGTATCATTCATAAGAAACACTCATATTTCGTCTATCCACTTTGGTTTCTAGAGTGCTCTTATTCTTTTTAAATTGTCCTGCCAAAACGCTTCTCTCTATATTTCTTCTTCTTCTTTTGGCACACACCATTCGCATTGACCGCAATTACAGGAGAAATCGTAAAAGTCAGACATTATAATACTGACCAAGATTTTATAGCGACAAGGTCTACACGAACACTTTGACAGCTTGTCAATCCCTGTGTCTTACGATCGTACATCTCTTACAGATTGAGCAGTGCGTTATAATGCTTGTATGATTCCTCCTCCTCCTGACTTTCTCATGTCACTAATTTCGTGCGATAACCGTTTTTTTTTTTTGGCGTCGTCTAAAGAACTCTTTTTTAACACATTTCGGAAAGGACATGGAAGAAAACCCTCCAAGGGCAAGAGCGATATTAGACGTATTATTAGCCATAGTCAAAGAAAAAAACCGCTACAGATGATCTCGGCGTCATGCGCAAACAAGTGACTACCTACATCGAGGAAATTGAAACCTATGACCAAGAAGTGGGAAAAAAGATACATTCCATCGGTTAAATTGTCGACTGATGCCTTCATTTTTGGTCTATGTCACTTATTTTCAAGTTCTTCGCTCTAAAGACCTTGTATGACAACGTGTTGTGTGACAAATTTTGTGAAATATGCAAAGATCTTGCGTGTCTATTCTTGTTTACCAAACTTGTGTTTTAAACGACGCTCATTTTTTAAACGTAAAAGTCATGCGTCCTGAATAACCTGTACCACATGCGTGTGAAAACCTTTTGAAACTCTTATAAATACAACTTCTGCTCACAAAGGTAGTTTGTTAGATTAGTATGTCTAACCCACGATACCCAAACGTGTAATATAGGGTCCATTCTCTTTTAATGGATTTAATCCGCCGCCATCTTGGATTCCTTTGTTCCCTTTGTATTTTTCTGTACCGTTATTTTTAAAAATGAGATGCGAAAAAACCCCCACGCACGAAACTACGTGATATCTAACCCTAACCCCCCAACAACCCTAACCCCTAAGCCCTACATCCTATCCCTAAACCCTTCGCGCACCTACGCTGATTTAATTATAACCTAAAAACCACCTTCATGCACCTACGCCCTATGAATATTTAGTTAGACCTCACTCGGACCCAGACCGCTCGGGTTGTACCATAAAGGCGCCCTAGACTACTGTCTTTCTTTTTCAGTTTGTTTTTTCATTACAATTCTAGGCCTAAGTGTTTTTGTACCGCATGAGTTTCCCTATCCACTCCAACCCCCCCTCGATCCTTGGAAGGGCTGGATTATATGATGAACCTGGCCAGCTAGCAGCTGTACCAGGACAAACACTTGATATGTTGCCCCATTGAAAGATCTTTTGGGACTCAAACCAGAAAGAAAAAATGATACATACAGTTTTGTAACCTAAATCACTCTCTGGAGTGGTAAAAAAAACCCTTTTTTTTCTTTTATTTTTTTCAGCTGGTACATCGCCTAATTCTAATCTTGCTATCATCCGTTCCTATTCTTTGAATTCTGTTTACTGTATACTTCTCGAAAAGCGTTTCCAAGGTACTAAACACTTTGTCTGGATAGTGAACGACGTCATTAGCCAACGTACCCCCCGGATACGAGTCTGTCATTGGGTACACGTCTATGACGTCAAAACCCGCTTGACACATGGCTGACAAGGCGTAGGCGCTGAACAAAAGAACTTGCTGGAAAAAAATAAGATGTATTAGGTGACTCCCAAGATTTTCTGGGTGAAAATACAATGAAATGTTTTAATTCAAGGACAAGCGACCACAAGTTTATAATCATCCTCAAAGAGGTTGCCCTGCAACATTTACAAACCTGCGGTGTAAGGAACCTGCTATCTGTTGGGTTAAATTTCTTTCCATGATGCTTACATAAAGCTGTAGTTGACTTCCAGATGATCTTTGCCTTATACATTAGACCTTCTTTGCCCTGTGAGTCGACTTGTGTCTCTTTCAACAAGTTTATGACCTCTCCGATGACCTTCTGGAAAGTTGTAAAATTCACGCTGACAGGATAATGAAGTCCAAGGTTTAAAAGTAATATACTGGAAGATTGCTGTAATTCTCTCGTATTAAGGACTCCGCGAATGGCCTTTAAGACTTTCTCAGCGCGGAAGTCGAGGCTATCGTTTTTCTTCCTGCTTTCTTGTTCGGTGGTTACTGGATAGAGCCAGTTATAACTGTTTTTGCATTTCAAGTACAGCTTCTTACAAAGGGCTCGAGAGCTGATTGAATGATAAAAGCGAACCCCTAGTGAATCACCGTACACCCAGAAAGTGCCAGAAGAGCTATGGTTTGCTGGTAAAGACCAGTTGTATGATTCTGTAAGTTGGGAAACATTCAATTATGTTAGGAATTCCTTTCATTATTTATCATACACTTTGCCTCTAAGTCTTACAATTGAAACTAATTTCAAACGAATGCTGGCAAAGTAAATGTCTTCTCATGTTCTTCTAATCTGATTTTGCCAATGACGAGTAAGTTCTCACTTTCAAGGTAGGGCCGCCAAGTGTCATTCCTCCACCGACCAAATCCATCCCACAAGTTATTGCATGTAGAGGAGCAAGGCTTCAGAGAATGAAGTTTGTCTATACAGAAGAAAGATGGAAGAAACAATGGATTGACCGTTTCCGAGGAAAGAAAAATATCAACTAGGGGATGTTATTTGATTTCATTACCGAATTCTTAGATCAAATCTTGTAAGAAATATATGGCTATCAGTGAGGAGACTTGATCTTTAGATCTTGGACGCGAAAGGGTTACGATAGGGGGCGAAGTACCAACAACAGATTTGGAGGGTGTTCAAGAGTGCTGAAGAATGATGTTTTCGTATTTTCAAAGAGAGTGAGTCCTCAAGAGTAATCGAACCCCAGACCTCCGGATTCCGCGCTCTGCGGATCTACTTTTAAGTCACAGAGAAAAGAGACTTTATGGTAACCTTAGCTAACAAAAGCCCTTTACAAAATATCAATTAGCTCACCACTTACACACTCGCAGCGTTTTCGCCAAAAGTTCTTAAAATAAACAGTCTTCTACAGAAGCTCCCTCTTTCGGGATAACTTTCCAGACAGTCGGTCGCTCCGACAACAACTATTATTACTACAAAACTGAGTCCTTCATGATATACGTTTACAAAATATTCTCGAACATTTCGGAAGATACACAACTAACAATTTTGTTAGTATGCCACCATAATTACGTGACCTAATAGAATGTTCCAAAAAGTTCCATGGCATTACAGAAGAAAGTTCGTTTATCCATGTCAGCATGACTAGGCATTCTAGAAATTTCAAGATACTTATCTTTCTCCCAGGTTACTTACCATCTAATGAAAGGCTCATCTCTGCTTTTGTTACTTTTATCTCGAAATAACTTCCGTTCTGAAGGGGCTGTAGCAAGTAATCATCTAGAGGGCCTAGAAGACCCTCTCGCTGAAATTTCCCTTGAGCGTTCCTTGTACTCGTGTGACTGCGTGTGACGGTAGGCGTAAAAACTCAACACAGACCATCGAAGCACACAGCAACAAATGCATAATCAGTTTTTGCTTGTTGTGATCTTAATAATATTTCCTTGTTGACTAAGTGAGAGGGCTGGAAGGGAAATTTGGCCTGAGGTCATGACGTACGGACCTAGCGGAGCGAGTAAGTTCCCATCCGGCCCCTCCAGTCAGTCAATAACTACATATTATTTGCATCACATCGGACAAAAATTGAATATTGGCGAAACAAAGCACAAGGACAGCACGCGCGACTACGAAAGTTTTAATTTCGAAGATTCTGTCGATCACACTGCGACTGCAATAATCTAGCTCACGAATTTCTCTCTTGCTACAAGTTACGAGGTGTTTTAGTCAGTTCACAAACACTATCATTTTCATTGTTACGCAGCGAGAGAAAGACATTGAGTGGATGAGGTTATGAAATTGCAGTGCTACAGGTAATAGGTTATGGGAGCACTTATCCCAAGTTTTAGGTCTCTTTGTTTTCCCAAACTTAAGATATTCGTCGAAATGTTTTGAGAAAATTTCCAACGGAAATCCTATTTATACTAATGAATAAAGGCTG